AAATGCAAAAATTTAATGGATTACATTGAATCTGGTTCAATTTGAATGGGTTGAATGATCCATTGACTTTAGAGGTGTCAAACTTCTAGGCTTGAAAAAGATTGTCAACGTTGACCATTTATCAATGCCTCAATGGCTCTTAAATCTATGATTTAGGTTTAGAGGAAATTATGTAAATCACCTAAAAACACGAGTTAGAAGTTATACCTTTTTGAGCTAGAGAGCATAATCTGGATGGCTTTTCCAGAGAATCTCACGGATTGCTTTTTCAGAGAGTTGGGAAACTACATAAGTTAATTGATTTCTTCTGGATTAACCACTTCCAATTTGACAAGGTAGGCCTACCCTTTTTGGTTTTATATACATATCTACCCTAGTTTGGAGTTCCCAACATTTTTCTTTGGCGTGTTCTTTCTTCTTGTATTAGTTGCGTCATTGATTACATTTTGGAAGAAGGCTTTGCCTTTCTTTAGTTGTAAGCCCTTTACTTTGTGGTTTGGTGGTTATTATAATAGATGTTTCTGAGATTAGATAATTTAACATTATTGTCTTTTTTTCCTTTTTTTTGACTTGTGTGAGAAAAAAAATCTCATTTAATGATAATAGATTTTCATTCTTTAAGATTTGGATATCAATTTGGTTGAAGTCATTATTGAGTCTTACAAGAAACTCAAACTCCTTTTCTCTTTTTATAAATTATATAAAAATTATCACATCACAGCATATCATCTTGAGATATTGATAATAATCTAGTTTAAGCCAATGAATTTTCAGTGCATTACAGTATTTAATAACAAGAAGACTATCTTGCTTGTTTGTTAAAATCTTAGTTTTGATCTTATAGATGATAGCAACTTCATCACTACTTTTGATCTCATAGATGAGAGCAACTTCATCACTTTTGAGTACGTTCCTTTGACGACGCTCCAAACCTTTTTTGTGGTGGAGATGAACATATATGACCCATTGTTTTCAAGCATCTTGGTATTCCACAATTATATTATGATCATGGAGTCTGGTCATTCCAAATTGCAAGTTTTGTGCATGTTAGTTCTATATGAGGATCCATAAGATGATGGATTGATGAGGACATCCGACAGTGGAGGGTTTATCAGAGACGGGGTCGTAGATCAATGGCCATGATTGCATCTCTTTATTTATGAGTTATTATTATTATTTTTATTTATTATTGTATTGTTTTCGGTTTTACCCTCACTTCAAGGAGTAGGTTCTTGTGACTCTTGAGGGACACTTTTGTCTTTTGATGTTTACTATTGTGCTTGGCTATTTATACCCCTTTTCTCTTCTTGAGAGGGGATGATGATTATTATGAAATTATTTTCTCCACTTGTGTCTTGGTGAGTCTTGAGAGATCTTGAGAGAGTTAAAGTACCTAGGTGAGGGCAACGTATCACCCGTCAGCCATATGAAGCGTCCGGGCTCACGGTTCATCTCCTCCTTCCTCCCCAAATCACAGTCCATCCATCTTTTCCCTCCAAGCCGCTGGCCATCTTCCCCCTTCCACTCGAAACCGCCGGCTAACACCATCCTCCTTCCTCCAAACCGCCGGCTACCACCATCCTCCTCCCTTCAAACCGCCGACTATGTGCCCCAACACCACCGGCCCTAGCACCACCATTTCCCATAGCCGCCGGCCTTCCCCTCCAAACCCTAACCACTGGCTACGCTTTTCCCTCGTAGATTTACTACTTTTTTTTTTTAGAAAGAAGCCGGAGCTAGATTAATATTAAAAAGAAAGAGCAACTGCAAGTCTACAATTTAGATTCCTCCTTCAAAATGCTAAAAAAAGGAGGAACCTTATTCACAAAGCAATCATCCCAAGTAAAGTTACTTACTAAAGCATAGTTAGCACATAAGTTTGCTAACTTATTGCATTCTCTACTAATGCAATTAAAAATAACAAAATTGAATTTTTCAAGAAATTCCATACCATCATCGTTGAGCTCCCCCTTATTCCAAGCCTTTTTGAAGTAAGAAATAATGTTTGAGTTATCACCTTCAATGAAAATACCATCGAATTTGAACATCCAATCCTTGATCTCCTCTTTAATTGAATTGATGGCAAGTAACTCCAATTGAGCAATATCCCAATGTATAAATGATTTACCATAAGCATAAAGGAATCTCCCTTTACTATCTCTGAAAACAGCCGCTATACCTGCCTTGTACGATGAGATAAGAGAAGCATCAACATTAACTTTTAGCCAACTGGGTGGAGGAGGATGCCAAGCATTAGACAATCTTAACGACTAATTAACATCCCAAAAGCCCAAATTAAAATGGCTAAAGTTGTTAGAGACCGAAGCTTGAAAAATGGCTTCAGCGGCTATAAAGCTGGAATTATCTTCTGCTCCATCATGTATCCTCTTGTTTCAACTTTTCCAAGATAGAAACACCAAAATACAATAAAGTTTAACCATCATACCCTTCCTGGATACATTATTTTCCAGCCAACTAAAACAAAGTTCACTAGAATTGAACAAAGGAAAACCGAAGCCCCAATGGTTCAGGTGTTGAATAATTTACTACTTTCCTAAAATATTCCTTTAGTAATTTGGAAGGTTTTTGAATTCAAATTCTTTCCTAAATGATATAAACTTATTTTAGGAACCCCCCCCCCCCCCCCCCCCCCCAAATTATTCCAAATCTGAAATTAAATAGGATTTGATTTTAAATCCACATTCAACGTATGAGGACTCCTTACCTTTTTCCCTCCTTTTGGCCGGCCCTCTCCCTCTCTCTTTAATTGCTTCCTTCCTAATTGGGAGCTCTAATTAAGGAGCCAATTGGCTGCCCCCTTCCCCTTATTCCCTCTTTCTCTTTTCATTTTAGGGAAATTAAATTCAAGTTCCCTAATTATCTCCATCATCAAATGTGAATTTAATTTCAGAAATTTGAATTGAATCCCTCTTAGTCCACAACCAAAATTTGAACAAAAACAACCCTATTTACTTAGCCTTGGCTGACCACTCAACTTCCTCCTCTTGGACATTGAGTTATACAGAATTTCGTCAACTTAAAGGCTGCTGTCCCACCTCTCTCATTCACCCAATTTGCTGTCCAAGAGCAGTTCAAGTTGCTGTCCAGAGATTTCAGCCATTCCTTATTGCTTTCATGCTGTTCGGGAGATTCTAGATTGCTGTTCAGAAGTTTCAGCAATTCTCCCTCGCTGTCCTGCTATCCGGAAGATCCCTGTTTGCTGCCCAGAAATTCCAGCACTCCGTATTTTACTGTCCACTCTCTTCCGAGTTTCGACGAAGGTAAACTCTCTCCCAAATCTTATTCCTTCTCAATCCCTCTCAATTGTGGTATCATAAGATTGTGCAAATTTTCTCCGCAAGCTGACTTATTAAGAGTATGAGTGAGTGGATCCGAATAGTGACTAGTCTAAATGCTAATTTAGGGATTTCCTTTGAAAATCCTCCATGTTATGCTAAGCTTGATTGAATTGTTTAATGTTATGATCCTGAACGATTATCGTGTAATTTGGCCTAAGCTATATCACCCCTTTTATTGTATTTAATCTCTGTTTAAATCGCTAAAAGTTAGAATAATTATTGTTGCTCTAATCTAAGGCGTTTAATTTCAACATTAGATATTTACGCATGCATTTAGTTCTACATCATGGATATTTTCCTTTCATTTCAGAAAGGTCTTCACTATTTGTGATAATTTTAGATAATTTCTCCTATTCAAGTGATATGAGGTTTGTAGCCCATGTTGTTCTCATTTAGTCTGATTTTAACCATTCATGATAATCGACCACTTGAAAGTGAATCCAAGAAACCAACCAAATGAAGTTAAGGAATAATCTCAATAAGAACGGATAAAGAATAAGAGCAAAGGTTGAAAGACGAAAATCTTAACTTCACTATGATACCATGTAGAGTAGTAGATAATTAGAAAATACCTACTTTGAATTTTATTGCTTAATTCTATACAAAGTGTGAATGTATTTATAAACTTATTCAAAAGGCTTACAATGGAAATAAATCAAAGTTATCTAAAAAAAGGAAAAGAAGTCCCAAGAGCGGCCGACAGTGAAAATAGGAAGAGGAGGCACACATATTGAAAAATCTATGAGCCATAAGAGATTTTATACAATGTTTAGAGCTTTTGATCTATGTGCTCAAGGATCCCTACCAAAATTGGTTAACCTGTGGGTCCAATGATCCTCCAACATCTCACAGCACTTTTGTTAGTAATATTACTAAATAGGCATTTGCTTTGCTTCACAACAACAACATAGCCCAAAACAATATAGCACATCACAATTACATTCACCTAATAATGAGGCTAATTAGAGATTAATTATTCTAAATGATTGTTATCTAATTGTTTACTTTATTAAAAATAAACAGTATAATTACTAACTTGTTAATTAATAGTTATATTATTAAATTATAAAAATGACTTGTTTTAATCAAGGGATTAATTTTACTAAAAATTGACTACTTTTTAACATTGGCTAATAATTCAATAATTTATGATTAAGATAAACATATGCAAATCAATAATGCATTGATTAAACAATAAAGTTTAATTGGTTTATGTACTGCTTGTAGTTAGGATGTTAAACTAGTTTTATAAATCTCAATCATTTTGGTCATTCAAGAACTTACATCCATATCATCAGTTTTTACCAAAAATTGCAGCTCTTATATCACTGTAGACAGGCAGACAACAGGCTTAATGTTAATTTTACCTAACAATCGCCAGCTTTACTTAACAGTAACAATACTATGCAAAACAATGCAAGACAACACAACATTGCTAAACAGAACCTCTGTATGAGATACGGGCATGGCTTCTTAATGAAGTTCCTTACATTTTACTGCACCTGCATGCTGCCAGATATTTTGCTTGTAATGGTATATTGTACCTTTTGCATATTGGTTAGAAGAGCTGTAGTGTTTTACACTTTTTTCATGGAAGTAGTGTGTGACTGCTGCTTATTTTTTCTAACATTGCAATGATAGATGATAGAGGAAATATTTTTTCATCTCTCTGGACCTAACTCAGCTCTACCAGCCATGGTCCAAATCCTTGCAGATTTTGCTTCTGCTGAAGGTTTTGTTTCCATAGCTTTTCTTTACTTTTTAATCTTTTTCATCATTTAACGCTATTGTTTTCAGAACAACTGAGATTCTTATTTGTTTCTTTTGAAGCTTTGAAGTTCACCCCCCGTCTGAAAGATGTTCTTTTACGAGTGTTACCTATACTTGGAGGTGTAAAGGATAGTCAAAGACCAATTTTCGCAAATGGTACCATTTATTTGCAATTTTTTTTTATGCAAATGGTAACCTTTTCTTTTATGGTTTTACGAATCCATGGAATTTAATACAGCTTATAGAAATATGTATCATCTTAACACCATTGTCATTATCTTATCATCCTACATCAATACCATAGTTGTGATCTAGTTATTAATTCATTGCATTATTCTATAATTACATGTCTATTTGATAACATTATGGGAATAACCTTCATAGGATACGGATACTTGCAACAAACCCTAACACGAACAACAAACCCCCCACCCCCAATTGCTGGGAAGCCTTTTGCACTAAATATGCAATTTACTCGTCATAATTGTTTCTTGAGCTTATTTTGTGGTTGATAAATTGTATGGACATTTCCTTTCAGCATTCAAATGCTGGTGTGAGGCTGCTAGGCAATATATTGGCGACTTCCCTTCACATCCACTTCTTGATAGTGATGTAATGTAAGCTTTTCTTGTTTGTTACGCCAACTATATTTCAGGATATCATATTATACCTTTATATTGAAAATATGATTCTTCTGCAGATCATTTCTGAATTCTGTTTTTGAATTATTGCTAAGGGTTTGGGCAAGCTCTCGGGACCTGAAGGTATAACATATCATTTGTTGTATGTCATCCTATTTAAGTTCTCATTCATTTGACCCTTCCCTTGGTCATTTTAACGGTTCAAAATGAAGATATGAAATATTCCACCATGACCCAACTGACCATCTAGTTATTTAACTAGGAGCATGAGGTGTAAAGCAACAACATAAGCTTTTGTCCCACAACATGGGGTTGGCTACATGAAATTTTTTTCTCCATTGTGTCCTGTTAAGAATAAAATTCTCATTTAAATCTAATAAAGAAAGGACATTTCTAATATTTTCTAGCCAAGTCTTTTTAGGCCTGTCTCTACCTTTCTTAACATAAGCCAAATCTAATACATCTACTTTCCTAATTGGGTCATCAGAAGACCGCCATTTTATGTGCCCAAATCATCTAAGGCGACTATTTCTAATCTTATCTTCCATTGGAGAAACTACAATCTTTTCACGTTTATGCTTATTTCGTATCATGTCTACTAAAAGACTTCCTAGAAAAATAAGAAAATACATGCTAAATCAGAAAATACATCTTTTATAGAATTAAAACGACACTTACAAACTTATACCATAAAAAAACTCCTAAAATAGCATTTTCTTTGTTGAGAAGAAAGATACATATGGGGTAGACACTTGCGGAGAGAAGAATGAGAAAAGAAGCCCGAGATGAAGAAGAGGCATAGCTCGCAAGCTATCCTAGAAGAAGGAGAAGGGGATACATAGCTCGCAAGTTATCAAAGAAAACCCTCAGGTTTCTTCCAAAAATTCAACACCAAAATCCTCCATTTTTATTCTCAAATCACTATATATATATATATATATATATATATATATATATATATATAGGAGAAATGGGGTAGCCAAACAACCCAAATCCACCTCCAACCGACCCATCAAGATAGAATAAAGAAGGCCAAAAGGCTGTCCAGGAGCAGCACCCGAAGAGCCACATAAGGAATCAAAAAGGCAGCCATGGGAGGCAGGAACGGGCTTGACAGGGAACCGGAATAGGCAGTCAAAGGGGGAAGGAACGGACACCACAGGGAACTGGAATAGGCAGCCAAAGGGGGAAGGAACGGGCACCACAGGGAACCGGAACAGGCAGCCAAAGGGGAAGGAACCAGCCACAGGAAGAGCTTGGCGGGTGAACCGAAGGGGTAGCATGGGAAGGGGGTAAAGGGTGGGGGGAATGAATTTAACTACACATTAATGTGCTGAAAACAACAGCTCATGAGTTGCCCCCCCTTTGCCTAAATCAGATTCTCCCCCGGTTGAAAATGCTCATCTCATGATGAGGATGCTTTAGGTTTTTCTCGTTGAGACGAAGGAGGCGCATCCAATTCTTGAATTTTGGCCGCATACTTCTTCAGGATAAATTCTCTTTCTTGCCTGAATTGGGCTTGCAAAAGTTTCTTTTTCTTCATGTAATTTTCCGTACATACATGCATCTTCTTCTGAAGTTTGTATATTTCATTTTGTAAAGGATCAGTTGAATCTCCTTTCGACGGAATTCATTCGTTCATTGGAATTTGGACTTCAAGATCTTCTGGCTGATTTTCATCCACAACTGGTTCAATATTTTTGTCTTTTTCCATTTTTCTAAACACTTAAAAAAAACACAAACAACTTATGAAACCTAACCCAGGCTCTGATACCAAATTGATGCAAGCAAAAAAATTAGGAAGACCCTAATTTTGCAAGCATACTAAAATACTTCTTAGAAAAATAACAAAATACATGCTAAATTAGAAAATACACCTTTTATAGAATCAAAACGACGCTTACAAACTTATACCATAAAAAAACTCCTAAAACAACATTTTCTTTGTTGAGAAGAAAGATACATATGGGGTGGACACTTGCGGAGAGAAGAATGAGATAAGAAGCCCGAGACGAAGAAGCGGCATAGCGAACAGGCAGCCAAAGGGGGAAGGAACGTGTACCACAGGGAACCATAACTGGTAGCCAAAGGGGGAAGGAACCAGCCACAAAAAGAGCCAGGCCGGGGAACCGAAGGGGCAACAGGGGAATGGGGGGATAAGGGGGGGGGGAATGAATTTAACTATACACCCTAAACCCTAAAATTTAACCCCTTTGCCTACATCATCCACCTGAGCATCCTGATCTCTATAATACTTAACTTAATATTTTGCTTCTCTTTTAATGGTCACCATTTTGCACCATAAAGCATTGCAGGTCTCACCACCATCTTATAGAATTTTCCCTTAAGTTTGAGGGGGACTTTTCTATCACACAACAAGCCTGATGCATTCCTCCACTTCAACCATCTAACTTGAATTATATCATAATATCCCCATCTATTCACCATCACTCTGAATAATGGACCCGAGATATCTAAAATGTATACTCTTATTAGTGACTTGATCGCCCAAAGTCACAATCCCCCCACAATCTCTATTACTACTAAAATAACATTCCATATATTTAGTTTTAGATCTACTCGAAAGAAAACTTTTAGACTCTAAGATTGACCTACATAATTCAGGTTTACTTTGATTCCCTCTCTAGTCTTATCAACAAGAAAAATATCACCGACAAAAAGCATGCATCAGGGTACAAACTCTTGCAAATGTCTAATGAGAACATTCATGACTAAGCAAAAAGATATGGGCTTAAGGATGATCCTTGATGTAATCAAGCTGAAATAGGAAAATACTTGGTCAAACTACCTTTTGTTTGAGCACAAGTAACTGTTCCTGCATACATATCCTTAATGGCTTGAATATAAGCATTATTAAACCATTTCTTTTCTAGAACTCTCTATAGGACTACTCTTGAAATTTTATCATATACTTTCTCTAAATCAATAAATATCATATGTAAATCATCCTTATTTTCTCTATACTTCTCCATCAAACCTCTCAATAAATATGGCTTCCATAGTAGATTTACCGGCATGAATCCAAATTGATTTTGAGAAATATTAGTATTATGTCATAATTTATGCTCTATAACTCTCTCCCATAGTTTTTAATTATGAAACATCAATTTAATTCCTCTATAATTCGCACAATCTTGTGCATCACCTTTATGCTTAAAGATAGGAATGAACATACTCATTCTCCACATATATGGCATCTTTTTATTATTCAAAATAATATTAAAAAGTTAAGCAAGCCAAGAAATTCTTCATCTCCTAAGCATTTCCAGACCTCTATTCGAATATAATCAGGTCCAACAGCTTTTCCATACTTCATTTTCTTTAAAGCCTCTCTAATTCAGTTTTACTAATACGTTGATAAAAACAAGCCTTTATTTTTATTTAGGGTGCTAAGGTCACTAAAGTTAATCATATTCTCGCAATCTTTATTGTAAAGTTTGGCAAAGTAACTTATCCACCTTTGTTGAATATCCTCTTATAATAAAATCATATTTTGTTTTTCATTCTTAATGCACTTCACTTGAATTAAATCTTTACTACTATCTCTTTGTTTGGCTAATTTATACATATATCTTTCATCATCATTAGCATCTAATTTATTATATAAATCTTTACTAAGATCTTTACATCGCATATTACTTTCCTAGACTCCTTACCAGCCTCTTTATTTCTTTCCCAATTATCCAAAATTTTACATCTAAACTAGTTTTTATAACAAATTTTCTTATTTTTGATCTTTTCTTGCTTATTTTGATTCTTCCACCAACTATTTTTACTATTAGGAGCTTTTCCCTTTGATATTCCAATCACATCTTTTGCAACATTCTTAATATCACTAGTTGCTTTTATTCACATAACATTAACTTTCTCATGCATAGAGAAAATCTTAAGATTTAGAATTTTATTCTCAAAAATATTTTTTATTAATGTTATTTAAATGTCTACATCTAATCCTAGAACAACATTTTAGTTTTTTTTTTGGCACTTCTTCTAATAAGCGATGCTGGGTATATAAATTTTTACTTGGAATAACTTTACAATCTTTACAATCTAAATGATATATTTTTCTTATGAGTAAAATAATAAATCTGAGTTTTACTATATTAAATGATTCATGTTATAATTATTCGACAAGTTTTATGCCGGCTGTCGACTACTTAATACAACTCTACACTTTTCCCATCTAGGATTTGAGACCTAGCAACGACAGTGCTAACTAGGAGCATGAGGTGTGATGAGATTAAATTAAAATATCTTGACCTCCTATGATCAGTTGTCAGTTATTCATGAGTGAGCTAAACTAAGAACATCAAGTATTTTAATCGTACATTAAAACATTCTCGTAATATATGACAGGAACTATTTTCTCATTTTTGTTCCTCGTCCTACTAAAAAAGCTAGTGAATTAAGAAATGGCATATGGTTATGTAGGCTTCATAACGCATTATTTCAACACTAGTGGCCCCAAATCATATATCATGTACCTTCGACCATAAGAAGCAGGTCACCTATCGTGATCAAGTTGCAGAACAAACTCCAACCCTTCAACCTTCATTCTAAAATCGAGCAACAAAAGATGAATTTTCATATCTCCATGGTCAGAGAAACCTAAATGATTCCTATGACAAATGAAAAATAAAGCACTTAATATACATTCCAAAGTTTCTAACCAAATTTCATAATTTAGTCGTTTGTTGATCTCTAGAAGCATCAGAACTGATAGCTCGTTCACAAAGAATATTATCATCATATTAAACGCCAAGTCTGTTTTTTGTTACTGTCAAATAAACTTAAAACACGTTTCATTGGTAGATATGCTTAGCAATGCCCAGCACATTGTATGACTTTGACCTCACAGCTCAACCGATGATTCATCTATCACAAAAAATTATCTATGATATAGCTTAGACATTCAATCTTTCACAGCTAATTTTTATAGTTGAACTTAGATTTCAAATTGTACTTGCACAAGAAATGTAAGTTCTTGAGTTGTGGGAAAAGGCATTGTCAAGCCTAATATGTGCAATGAATTGCACAAGGTTAGGTGAAGTTCGGAAGTCAATTGTTCAGCAATTGCAGACAAATCTCAACCACTTGATGGAATTTATACATATCGAGCCAAACAATGTATTACCTGATGCACTTCTTGTTGTCTGCAGCCAGCTAGGTCTTTTGTTTTTTTTGCACGGTACCTTAGTGCATGCTCAATCCATCTCAGCAAACACAAATATTTCAAGCGAGCAACATCAATTATGTATTTCAAGCGTCAATTGTTTTTGCGTACAGGTGCGCCTATCCTCTGTGGAGGCCTTAGGGCAAATGGTTGGTCTTATCTCAAGGTCACAACTAAAGGCAGCATTACCAAAGCTTGTTCAAACAATATTGGACTTGTGAGCGGACATTTTTGGATAACTAGATAAAAATTTGAGCCATCCATTGCTATTTTTTTTATTATTAGCTTTCTTTTTTGAATGATACATAATGCAAAAACTGACTATTATTTTTTTTTTCTTTCTTTTTGTCTCAGATATCGTAAAGATCTAGAGATGGCATTTCTTGCCTCAGTCAGTCTACATAATCTTCTTAATGCCTGCTTATTATCAGAAAATGGTCCTCCTTTGCTTGATTTTGAGGTGGCTAGAAAAAAATATCCTTATTCTCCTCTTGCTTTATATGTGTAACTAGTTATATATGAGTAATATAGGGCATGCTTGATTTTATCACTTCTTTTTTCAAAGTTTTAACTTTTGAACTTCCTAGATGCTAATTGGGTTTCATTTGACATTGCTTGTCTTGTGTCGCGTTGTGCTGAGCTATCGAGTAAAACTGATGACTGTTTCATAAAATCATGTTAAAATTCCTATTTAAAGTTTGTAAGAGTTATGGCTGTTTGACAAAAAACTTTTCCGGCAGAGATGCAAGTTGATTGAATGATTGGTATAAACATTATTAGGAGTTTTATAAAATTATAATATAATATCCTAATCTTCATAAATAAATATTTAAATAGTAATATATGAAAGCTATGAAAGTACTTGTTTGAGAGCTACCGTTTTAAGAAACCTGTTCAACTTACTTATGACTGGAATATTTTTCGTGAAAACTGTAATCTTATTGGATTTATGAAGATTGTGAAGTGTGAGTTTATTATTATCGCAAAAAAGTCAAAGGAATTGTCTGTTTAATCTTCCTGTTTGAGCGCCTATATCAACCATTTTCCTTGGACACTGTAACTTAGATTACAAAAATGCATGCTGGAGTTGCAAATGCTTAGAGCTAACACTTCTCACCTATTGTTATACTTTCTCATGTCTTTACCTTATACTCATTGTCCTCGTGGCTTAAAATGCAAATACGAAGTTAAACAAAATTATAATGCCTGTAGGTGATATTTTACTTGTCACTGCTTAGTACTACAAGTTTATTCTTTGCAATATTCTTAATATTATTAGCTTCTTATTTTTATATAACATTCGTTTGCTAATTTACAGTTAGAATCTTAAAATTTTGAATCTTTCATTTAAAATTTTTTTAGTATTATTTAAATGCCTCCATCTAATATTATTAGCTCTTTAACTAGGCATAAAAAACCCAAATTAAAAAAAGGTTTTATACTTGCTTAAATAATCTCCAAGGGCATGATTTAACAAATTTACAAAGCAATGGCTAGAGCTGGGTATAAATAAAGCCAATGAGATTACACACTCTTCATAACGCACTCAACTGATGACAAAAATTCAATCATTATTATTTTTGTTAATGATATAATTGTTGCAGGTGATAATAATGAGGAGTCTCTCAAGAAAGAAATTCTGAATAATTCGAGTTTAGGAGTTAGCCATACTCAAATGCTTCATGGATAAAAAAGTTGCTCAATTTTAACAAGGAATATTCTTTTCTCAGCAAAAACAAAATATCTTATGAATTCACTTAAATAAATAAAAATGATTGATTATAAACTTTACAAAACTCCTAATAAAATGTGTCAAAAATTAGATGGCAAATGAAGAAGGGCAAGGAGACATGGGACAATATCAAAAATCTGTTGACTATTTGATTTATTTATCTCACACCCGTTCAGATATTGCAATTCAGTAAGACTCATTAGTCAATATATGCACAAAGTCATATAATCTTACCTTTAAATTGCTTATAAATACTTAGATATCTTAAATTGAGTCCTGAAAAAGGAACTCTCTACAAAAAGATAAGTTACAAATTGACTGGTACCTGCATACAAAATATGCAGAATCATCACTTGGCAGAAGATGCTCTTCAAGATATTGTACATTTTTTAGAGGTAACCTCATAACATGAATAAACAAAAAACAGCTTGTTGTTTCAATATCAAACGCTAAATCTGAATTTAGAACAATATTCAAAGTGACTACAATCTCCTGTTGATCAAAATTATTTTAAAATTAAAAAAGTAGATGGGGAGAGCCAATAAAAACATACGATGATAAGAAATCTTTTATTATTATTGTTTATAAATTGGGACAACAAGATCGCACCAAATATATGTAGGCGGATAAACATTTCATAAAAGTGAAACTGGAAAGGAGGTTAATATGCATTAAATTTGTGCTGAAATAGAGTTAACTCATCGACATTTTCGCGAAGGAGTCAACAATCTTACGTTGAAGAATATCGCATGCGAACTTGAAATAATGTATATATACCTTTGAAATTCAGGGGGAGTTTTGAAGATTGTTGTTTGGACCCCACTCCGACTGTTGGTGCCCCTCCTTTTTGGGAATTTTTTTTATTCATTTTGTATAATTAATCTTTAATCTATTTCCGCATGTGTCATCCTAAGAGGAGCCTATATACCTTAAGTCCTTGCCCAAAGTGCAAGTAATAAAATTCAAATTAATTTTTTATATTTCTAACTTTATGCAAGTTGGTTTCATGGATTTAAGAGTATCTCAGTAGTTTATTGATCAACTTTTTGATACGCCTTGGTTTCAAAAAATTAGAGTTTGCCCTAATTTCCCTTCAAGGTTGGAATTTCTCCACCAAATCAAAATCAACACAAAACAAGAAAGATGAGAGGAAGAACAAAAGAGCTTTGCATTAATCTTCAAGACAAAACAAAAGACAAAGCTAGTCCACTTCTAGAAGGACCAAATCTCCCACAAGAAACCCTAGAGAAAACAAGAAGGAAAAGAGAAAGAACTTTCTTCACATGATGCCCCCAAAATAAACCCTAATGGCTCCTTTCATACAATCTCACAACTTCCCCCTCATCCCTAAATTACCCCCCATCATCCACCCTCCATTTCCCCCCCAAAACTTGGCCTCCCAACTTGATGCCCAAGGATTTAAGTAAGTGGGCCCAAAGGGCCCACCTTGACCCTCTCCCTTTTCTCCCCAGATTCGGCCGCCCCCCCCCTTTGGCTCGCCCGGGCCGAAGGCCCCGCCTTCCGCCTCCTGTAGACCCGTAAGGGTCTCGGATGGACCGGCTCAGCCGGTCCATCACTTTTTTTTCCTTAAATAGTCATTTTTAATTTATCTTTGTGCAAACTTTTTATCTTGATCTTATTGGCTTGATACAAGGTTTCTCCTCATATGCGACTTTATAATTTTATAGGCCATGTTTCTCTTTTGATTTTAATAGTGTATTTTGAAGAAAATGAAAATGTTCTTTTTTATGTTGGAAAAAGTTCAAAATAGTTGCATGACTACTCTTGTATGATCAATTTAGTCCTTTAATATCACATTTCTCTTATTTAATGCCTCAAGCATACAAACTTGATCCCAAATGATCCTTTAGGGATTAAATTTGAATCAATTGTATACCATCAAGGGGCTGAATTGGGATCAATTTTATATCCCAATTCTATCAATTCCTACATAAGGGTCTATTTGGGAGCAATTTTGTATATCTAATGGAATAAATTTGAATATGTGATTAATGCAGGACTAAGCGAAATAAGTCATGCAAATAGAGATTTAAGTTAAGAGAATATCAAAGAAAGCAACATAAACTTCATAAACATTAAGAACAATAAGAAAATTTGAACTATTAAATTATGTGATAGTAGGAAACTGACAAGCAAAAGATAAACAGTAACAATGACGAATCAATTTAGAGTAGCTGACATGGGTTGGCACAATTCCAATATTTAATTAAGGGACTAGTTACTAGAGTTTTTGTTTGCTCAAATTTAAGTAGAATTTGACGGATTAATCAACACCTATGAGATGATGCTACTATAGATGAAATGAGAAGACTAATATTTAGTTAGATGAAAACAAGGAGAGGGTTTTATACTTAGCTCATGAATGGGAGGAATAGAGTCCTTGATGAAGTAACGGCTAGTTTCTCCTTGGCTTGCCCTTGAAATCCTTGCTCATTGTTGAATCAATGTCCTTGTTGCATTAGTAGAAGCTAAGTTTCCTAAGAGAGGTTGAATAGTGGGGAGAGAAAAGAAAGTATTAGCTATATGAGGATTTGGAAGTCGAGAGCTCACAGTTTTGCGGTTTGGAGGGGTGAACTAGGCCGGCTGCATAGGAGGAGGAGGGGAGAGATGATTTGACTGATTTTAATGGCTTGGAAAGGGAAAATTCATCTTGGGAATTGAAGAGGTGAGGGCTGGCTACTTGGGGAAGAGAAATGGCTGATGTGGTTTGCCTTGGAATAGAATTAGTTAGTTTGGGAAAGGGAAAAAGTCAGCTTGGGAGGCGAAGATGTGGGGCTAGTTTCTTGGGAAAGAAAGAGGGCTGATGTGGCTTACTTAGGAAGGGAAGTAATTAGCTTGGGAAAGGGAAAAGTCAGCTTGGGAGGTGAAGAGGTGGGGCTGGTTGCTTGGGAAGAGAGAGGGATGATGTGACTTGCTTGAGAATAGAAAAAGTAAAAGTGGTTGTGGATCTCCAAATGTCATAATTAATTGAGATAAAATTCTCAGTTAATTTGAATTAATTGCAGAATTTGGGAAGCCGAAGGGTCAAGGTTGTTGGGGAGAAGGTGGTGGATGAGAAGGGAGGGAGGTGGTTGCTGGTTGAGGGCAGCTATTTGCTGCAGCTAGTGGGCTGTTTGGGTGGCTAGGGAAGGAGAAAAAAGAGTTAAAAAGAGAAGAGGATACCAACAAAGAGTTCACATGCTTTTGGGTATTTCTTTGCCTTTCCCCAAAGGACTTCATACACAAATTCAACTCACCAAGAGAAGAGAGCATATAACCAGAAATTTATATCAAAATATTCTTCATCCATACAAGAGAACAATGGGCCATATATATAGGCACCAAAAACATGAAAAGACAAAAGACAAGAAGGCTTTTAACCAAACAACACAAAAATTCCCTCAAGAGAGTAAAACTGAAATAAAATAAATAACACCACATAAATCTCCTACAACACATGAAAACTAAAAAAAAAAAAACTCAATCAAGGCCGTAGATCTCCAGACTCTATGGTGATAAACCCTCCAAGTTTTGATGTCCCCATCAGTGATATTCTGATTAAATTGGTCACACATGAATGGTGAAAGAATTATTTTGTGCTTTTCTCGTTATTGTATTCCTAGTAACAATTTTTTCATAATATCTAGTGGGTATTGACACTTCTTTTAACTTATACGTTGTGAGAATATGATGGTTGTTTGTCTTTGTTTTGTACGTAGGGATCCAAG